CAATCATCCTCTTTAAATAACGGTTCTCATTGACTGTTACTGTAACACCGTTTTTTTTCCAAAGAAGTATGGCCCGGCAATACACCTTGATGAAACTGCGCACCACACAATGACTCGTTCTGGATGAAGTTCCATCTCGTGGATTATTTCTGGATTTGATTCACTCCAGATACGGTAATTTTGCTCGTTCACATTTGCGTTTAGATCAAAATGAGCCTCATTAGACAGAAACAAGCAATTTATGAAGTTATTGTCTTCTTCGGCCATTTCAATAAGTTTTTGGTAAAATTGCAGGGGAATAGACAAATCTCGAGAGTTTAACCAGCTTGTTATTTGAACTTTGTACGGAAACAGGCTTAAGTCATCATGAATTATCCGTTGTAATGACTGTCTGCTAACTCATGTTGCGCCGATAAGTTGAGAGTCGAAACTCTTGAATGAACTCTGAAATTGTTTCAAACGTTTGCAACATACAGACAGTCACTTGGAATTCAGTTCGCCTCATCATCCTGATCATTTATATACAGGGTATTCCAACAGGAGTGATATAATTTTTATTTACAAAAAAAACCACACTAATTGTAAAGGAAATTCAAATGTTTTTTATTTGATGTGAAGTACAATCGATACTAAGTTCTGAATATAACATGACCTTCACAACTTCTTTTGCCGGAACGAATTCGATGAACCCAATTTTCGTGTACTTTTTTAACTAAATCAAGTCGTATGTCATGAATAGCACGTTTAATATCGACTTCTAACGCTTGAAGAGAGTCTGGTTTATGGAAGCAGTCTATACATGTAGGTGTTAAATCACAACTTCTTGGAGGTCACAGTTTCTTGAAATTATCGAATCTCCAAACTTTTCTCGCAATAATTCAGTTGTTGCACGTGCTGTGTAGCACGTAGCCCCGTATTGTTGGAATCAGATGTTGTCAAGATCAACTTCTTCCAATTGCGGCCATTAAATGTTGATTATCATCGATCCATATCGCTCTCCATTGACAGTAACGGTGTCACCAGCTTTATTTCGAAAGAAGTACGTACCGATGTCAAGTCTGACAGTCACTATAGGTGAATGTAATGGTTGTTCATGAATAACTTGTCGATTTTCTCAGCACCAGAAACGACAGTTTTGTCGGAGAAGATGATTTTTCTTAAAAAAATCTGTATGGTTTTCAAATCCTTTCTCAAAATCCGCCAGGTTGTGGTTTGAGGCAGTCCCAATTCTCGAAAACGTCTTGATATCGACAAATTGCAGCCTTCAGCAACTCTTGTCTGAGCGGTTCTTTGTCTTATTGGCACTTGAAAATTATGTAAAGAAAAACTACGCTCGAAAGTTTAAACAATTCGAAAAGCGAGCACAGGTGAACGATTATTATGACCATATAATGGCAAAAGCGCACGAAAAGTTGCAATTGGAGAACGATTATTTTGATAATAAAATTGAATAATTTGTAAACGTTGTTCTTGCATACATTTTTCCATGATGAAATTGTAAACATTACTGAATACAATGAAACAATTACAAAACATGGCATATTAAAAGTGCCCAAAACGACACTTAGGAATCATATCATCCCTATTGGAATACCCAATATTATAATAGTTTTGTTTGCAAATAGTTGTAACCAGAGGCAGACAATTACCATGTCCACAAACCCGCATTACTGGAAAGAGTATATACAACTTGTATGTCTGTAATTCTGGCACCAATTATTGGGAAAATTCTGTAAGGCTATCTCAGTGGGAAGGGATGTAGGTATGTGCTTTCGATAAGTTTAAGTAGTTGGCGTGGTCTACCTGCAAATAAAAAAATACAGTCAAACCTCTACCGGCAGACTCCTCCAAATATCGGACGAACATTTAGAAACCAAGTTTTACGTTGTTGTAGAGTAACTAATCCGAACAGCCGAAATCTACATACGAGTAATTCACGGGATTCATATTTAATAATTTCTAGTTTTTAACATGAAAAGATCAAAAATTATAAATCATTTGATTTGTCCTGGAAAAACGTTTAAATAATCCCCGAGATATTAAACTAAATAACATATAGTTGATTTAGCTAATACAACATCCGGTTGTCAGACCTTCGATAAGAGCATTATAAAGAACTAGAAGACACCGACCACGCCTTGCTGTGGCTAAGGTATAATTAAATTATATTGAGTAAGCAGTTTAATTTAGTAAAATGTTATTATCAAAACTAATTTTAGCATTTTTTCCTGTCTATATATCTCGATTACCGAGCCAGTTATGATTTAAATAAATATTTTGTGTGACTGGGAAAATACGGGCAATTAATTAATTTTGTCCGTGTACAATAGTGCTGAAATTGGCTGGAAGTTTAAGGCATTTCGTATTTGGTTGCAGTTAGTATACGAAATCTAACTTCTATTCTGAAATCTAACTCAGAGTATACATATTTTATTATTATTAACCGTCAAAGTCGGTACATTTAATTGTGGCGAGTAATTTTCAAAAATTAGTAAATTAGTGCGATAGAATTTAATTAAGTAGCCACATTTCCGAACAAACGATGCTCTTTCAATATAGTCTGTGGCTGTGAATGACGATGACATTCGTTACGCGCGTTTTTTAAAATATGCAAAATTAAATGTATTTTTTCAATTTTTCTAAACATTTTCCGTAAGAACCTTCTACAGAGTATTAGAAAACTACAAAAAAAAGCCAAATCGGTCTAGCCATTCTCGAGTTATGGCATGACAACGGGAAACGGGTTTAATTTTTATATATATAGATTTAAAATTTTACTACAGATGCAATATTTTCAAACATATTTTGACAAGAGCAGAAGGCATTTCAACGAACAAGCTTTCATTATAATTTGACATTTTGCAGCTGTTTATTTTATTAAAACTGCAAGGAACAACGTAACGATGGAAAGAATTAAAAAGAGTGAGTGAAAGTTGAAAACTCAAGTAAAAATAAACTGTATATACATATAAACTATGATACATCTCACAACAAAAATTAAATATGTGAATTAAATTACCAAAAAATGTAATTTATTTAAAAAGAATTGTGTATTTTATCCTATTAGCGGACGAAAATTGTGGAACCGCCATTGTCCGGTATCCGTGTATCCTGTTTTAAAAACTTTTCGATTTATAACTTCATACTACAATGAGAAAATGGGTGAATGGGTATTTTTAAGTTTTCATATTTTATTATAATTTTTGTTGCATTCCTTTTTATATTTAAGTATATTATTATAACTCATTTTGATTAAAAGTTTGAAATTTATTAAAGAAATAAAAATTATACAAGTATTATCTACTGCGCAAAAGAATTTTTCACTTCTAGCGTAGCAATAGCGTTTCAGTCATAACTGACAATTTTCAGCTATGACGGATTTATGGTCAGCAATGACTCAGAAAAAACAAAACAAACAAACAACAAGTAAGGAAGGGCTAAGTTCGGATGTAACCGAACATTTTATACTCTCGTAAAGTCAAATGGTATACTCGTTTGAGATTTCTTTGTGGATTGGCTGATATTTTCGGTAGAAGGTCAACTATAGGCACTGGGGTCCACATATTTAGTACTTAGGGGCTTGAACAGTTTTGGTTCGATTAAGACAATTTTTGGTCACAAGGTGGCATACTTTAAACGTATTATTCACGCAAAGTTTTATCCCGATATAATCATTGTTGCTTGATATGCATAGTGGAAAGTGAAAGAATCAGATGGAATTTAAAATGGTGTTATATGGGAAATAGGCGTGGTTGTAGTTCGATTTCGCCCATTTTCGCACTATGACATAGAAATATGAAAATAACGTTACGTACCGAATTTTTTTGAAATTGGTTTAGCAGATCTTGTGATATGGGTTTTCACCTAAAAGTGGGCTGTGCCACGCCCACTGTCTAATTTTGAACGCGGTTCCTATAAAGTCATCTCTTACCATCCCAGAGATAAAATTTAATGTCTCTGGCGTGTTTAGTGCTTGATTTATCGCGCGTTTAGTAGTTTTTAACAGTACCGTTATATGGGGAGTGGGCGGAGTTGCCACCCGATTTCAACTATTTTCACACCGTCAATAGAAGTGCTAAAAACATTTGCTTCCAGTGAATTTTGTTATTATAGCATTAGCGGCTTAGGAGATATGCATATTAAACCTATTAGAGGCGGGACCACGCCCACTTTAAAAAAAAATTTTTAACTGCAGATACCCCTCCCTAATGTGATCCTTTGTCTTAAATAACAGTCTTGTATCTTATTGCGGAGCTTAGTTATGACAATTTATTTGTTTTAGATTAATGGCGTTTTGTGGGCGTGGCAGTTGTCCGATTACGCCCATCTGCAGTACCAACCGTCTTACTGTACCAAGAAACATGTCTACCAAGTTTCATAAAGATGTCTCAATTTTTACTCAAGTTATAGCTTACACGGACGGACGGACAGACAGTCACCCGGATTTCAACTAGTCTCTTCATCCTGATCATTTATATATATATAACCTTATATCTAACTCGATTAGTTTTAGGTGATACAAACAACCGTTAGGTGAACAAAACTATTATACTCTGTAGCAACAGGTTGCGAGAGTATAAAAAGAAAACAAGGCTCTTAAGAAAATGATAGAAACTTTGTTCTGCGCGCAAAATTTTTTCAGCTATGACTGTCATATTGCCCATCAGATGACCGTCACTGTTCTTGTAGGGTACATAACAAATGTAAGCAAATAAATATGTGAACTGTCAATGAAAACTCATCGAAAACACACAATGTCGGTCAGAACGACTTTGGTTCCACAACCCACAAATTGTGTTTTCAAGAGGATTTCAATATTCATTCAAATGCGAACATAGTATAATATTTATATACTCGTCTTTTGTAAATAAATAACATGGATAAGATGGAGAATACAGTGTGCCCATTTTCGAAGTGTAGAGCTTAGGATATGATTTGCGCAGTTTTTATGTTATTTATGTGTTTAATATAATATTAAAAATGTAACAAATATTTTTCAGAGAAAGTCGCCATATAGGATGATACGTGTATGGTTGCAACCGCATTTTAATTATCCAACTTATGGACTGAACACTACATTGTTGAATACGCCAGATGAAAACACTTCTGGATTTATATATGTTAATATTCTGGATAAATATACAAAGATGTATTTTAATTTAACTCAAGATGGAAGTCAAAATCTCGGTATGTTTGGCAATATTCGAAACTCCCGACATGTTTACATTGACATATGGCGTAATTACGAAGATATAAGTATTGTTGATGTAACTTCCTATATAAAATTAAACCATTCCCGTCAAGTAAGCGGGTGTTTACATTGGCGTCCACAAATACAACAAGAACTGAAAAACAAAATATATACCTTTAAAGAATCTGTATTAAATTCAGTCACTGAAACCATTGACTTTTGGACAAAGGGACTTTATACAGAATCAGTGTCTGCAGTTTCAGTTGTTTGGGAAACATCAAAAGAGTACAATAAAGATTTCATTAAAGAACTCAGCACTCTTAGGGTTTTAGAAGAAGATCTAGAAGATTTGCGAATTTATTTAAATAAGTCCTATCAAGCAAATGATTTTTATATAAGATCACTTGTTAACTTTTCACTTATTGTCCTTGACGAGATATCCTTCCGGGAGCATATGGACTCATTACCGGCTATATTTAGCGAAATATGTCAAATTTTAGGAGAATCTGGTAAAGCTTTGCGAAAAAGCATCACTCAGTTAGTAGACAAGCTTAAAATTATATACGATAATATTATACAAGCCATAAATACATTTTTCCATGGGCAACCACTGAAATACTTAACTGATTTCATGGAGAAAGGGTTTAAAAGGTATGAGAAATTTGTTAAGGAAGCTCATATATCTTTCATAAACCATGTAGAAGCTATGTGGAGCAAACTCTATGATATAATTTCTACGTACGTAAGAGGATTTCTGAAACGACTTGAACCACATATATTCAAAGCAATTAGTTACTTGGAAAAAATTGCTTGGGATTTTAGTAAAGAAATATTTAATTACATCAATGAGAGGACCAATGAATTGGCAGAGTCAACATATTTTAATCAAGTTTCCAGTTTTACACAAGATTTTGAAAATTTGTATAAGGATATAAAATCACATGATGCTATTATAAATATAAAAAAATATGCTACTATCGCTTGGAAATTCATAAAGGAGAAATCTCAAAAACTTATACCCTTTGGATCAGAACTAAATGAAGTAATTCTCGAAATTTGCGAAGAAATTAAGGAGTTGGAAAAAGTAAAACAAGTGCAGGTTATGATTACTAAATTTAGGAAGGTATCTTCAGAAGTAGAACTGTTTGCTGAAGAAATAAATTTAAAAACACATTTGCATCACTTATACATTCTTCTTCGTAACAAACTACGCACCTACTCATCAAATGCTTTGGAATTAGCGAACATGTATCGTGAGGCAAAAACTAAATTCGTATTCGATCCAGAGAACGGTGTAATCGATTTCGAACAAAAGTTGCCAATCTCGTGGCACGCATTTAATGAAACACCAAAATTGAAAGAAATACCCGAATATACATTTATATCACAAATGCGAAGGATGTTAGCTACGAACATGTCAATATTGGGACACATTTACGATTTGCGATCGTATATGGAATCAAAAACTTGGCTGAAACCATATTACTGTAAGTATTTCAATACCTGTAATATTCATATCATTAACTGTTAAGTCTTTTTTGAGGTAGCAAATCTATTGTCCCAACATTTCTCCCTCACTCCTAAATTAAATGCTAATGTTTCCTAGCATTTAAGCAAGATATACACATTTATTTCGACAACTTTTTTGCCAATGACACTTACTATCGTTATACAATACTATTGTTTTTTTAATGCAAGTAGTTAAATTACGAATTTTTGTATGTTATTTATAAGTTGGTCTAATTCAACTAGTTAAGAGTCATTTTGCGGTTGTGATGTTAGAGGCCGTTTCTTGCTAATTTTGGATTGCTAAAACTGAACATGATAGTAAAAATTTCTTAACACGTAGGATTTTTGAGTGAAGATTTTTTTTCGAAAAACTAAAATCAAGTTATCTTAAATTACAGCTTGTTCCAAAGCAACGTGTGTTCATAATACAATTGGGTGCTCGTTTTAAAACAAAAATTTGGGTGTTAGTGTTCTTAATTTGTAAATCCTACTTCACATTTAAATCAAACTGCTAGGCTTCTACTGTTCTAGCAGGTTATGCCTGCGCGGTGTGGAGGTGCCGCTTTTGTTATTCTTGGTCTCTTTCATGTCGCCGTCGTTGAGATGAGTCAGTTTTAATACGGTCGGCAAAAGAGAACACGTGTTTTTAGTTTTGAGCTTGTTACGCGAAATCAAATGTCTAAGGTACAGAAAAGTGATTAACCCCACGGATTGGTTTTGCTATATATGTGGCCAGTTTATACCTAAATCATAGAAGACGACAATTACTAATATGACAAAAATAGTATAGGTATCACAAATATAATGGTTGTGTTTACGCGTTTGTCAAACTTGTGCTGCAAATCTATGTACAAGTATGGTTACATGGTAAACGATTTGGCGAGAACCAACTAACTATTTCAACGATTGCTACTTTTGTTAAACAAAAGTGTCTGGTTTTTCAAGGAAAAACGAGCATAATATTGAATATCCAGAGATTCCTTCAGCAACAACCTGTTTTTCAAGGAGAAGGCTTACCAGTTCCAGCTACCCCATCAAACTGGGAAGAACGGAAGCTACCTATTCTCCTGAAAACAACGAAAAATGGACTCCTTTTATTCGAACAAGCTGAATTAAATGATTTAGTAAGAAACCTTCACTTGTCAAAGGACCATGCTGAGCTATTGGGTTCAAGCTTACAACAGTGGAATTTACTGGTATCAGAAACGAAAGTAACCATTTTTAGAAAATAAATCCGTTATTTATAAAAAAAAAAGTATAATAATAATTTTTTTTTCAACCTACAGCATAAATTATACGAAAATTTCAAAAAAAAACTCTGTATGTTCAAATATCTTTGAACATTTTTATCATAGAATATGCCGAGACAATACATACATACACACAAACATATGCATTAACATGCAATATGTTACGTAAGGTTGAACAAGCAAGGAAGGGCTAAGTTCGGATGTAACCGAACATTTTATACTCTCGCAAAGTTAAATGGTATACTCGTTTTAGATTTCATTATATATTTTAATAATGAGAAGTAGGATTTGTTGCCTTAGTTATTTACATTCACAGTGAAATTAATTACAGCAGCTTGTAAACTACATAGTACCAGATGACATATGGTTTAATGCAATTGCAAGGGCCTGATCCTCCCGTTGCCTCATTATTTCTGTTAATTCAAAGTATATAAAAAACACCCACAAAGGAGATCCAACTAAAGTGCTGTGCGATTAGGAGAGAGTTGCTTCAAATCACCAAACACTATGATGGGTATACCACCGAAGGGGCTGTCTGTTTTAAAAATTTGTTTTAATCTCGAATCAACAGAGCTAAACATACGAGCACCTACCATCGATAACTCTCAATAATGATTAATTTTAAATCGATAAGTCTGGAATAAAATGACTTAACTGTGTCATTGCTAAGTGGCCTCAACTCTCTATTCAACTGATTAACAGGTAAAGAGAATATTGAATGAAGGGTCATTCCACCTTTTCCGAATGCTGCTTTACCTGTAGGTGCGCAAAGAAGAACTTTTAAGGAACTTGGACTCTTTCCTACACCTGCACCGCCGCCAGTGAACTCATAAAATGGGAGATTTGTTTTTGGGTGGTGCATCAAATGTGTCAAATAGGTTCTTTGCTTAGTATTTAGACTTTGAACTAAAGAAAATAATTCCTCAACTGGAATTAAAGGGGGTAGTTTAATAGTCTAATATTGCAATCAGATTCAGTGCCATTATCTGTTGAATCTTCGCCATGCAAGTCCAGCAAATTTATATTTGGGTTTATTTCTGGATGTGGCAACACTCTGAACCCATTTGCCACGATAGGTAGTTCATTTTGAGCTCCTTCGTTCAAGTCTATTTAATTATGAAGACTTTCTAGAACATTTTCAAGTTCTCTTTGCTCAAAAACATCATATTTTCCTTGATTTTCTTCAATTAGAATACGATGTGTTATGCAAGTCTGCTTATTATCGTTCACAATGAGATCTTGCTGTTCATTTCGCCATGGATAGTACTGCATTACCATTTCGCGGAAATACTCAACTCTGGTCAAATCTGGGTTAAACCTTTTTTACCGAATTATACTAGGTTTGGTACGTTTTTTAACAAAACCGCTACCGTCTTTAAGAGGCATGACAACCCCGCTTTCTGGTAAGTTATCGTCTTCCCTCTCTTCTTCTTAATGATCACTGTCTTGTACTCTTATACTAGATTGAAAATATTTATACTTAGATGCAGAATCTTTGAACATAATGGTCTTAAATACCGGCTACGAATATTTCAGTCGAACCTGAAGGAGGATTCTGCTCTAGGTTTTATCATTCGAACACGTTTCTCAGGTCGAGAGGCATTGATAAATATTTCTGCATTATTTGCTGCCGAAAGATGGAGCCCAATGCAGCAATATACTTCTTCTTTTGCAGACATTTCTGTGCTTGATAAAAATTTGTACCCATATGTTTAAGTTTTTGCTTAACAGTATAATTGCCAGCATTTACCTCTGATATAGCTTCACTTAAGAGAATAGTAACTCCCCTGTTAGACTTGTTAATATAATGAATTATATATGAACAGCAAGTATATGCATCCAATATATATTAGATATCCATATTTTCTTTATGGAGTTCCAAAATAAGAGGATTATAGGCGTTTATAAAACGATCTTAGTGCTAACAAATAGTCATAAAAAGACTTATTTATTCTACTATCAGACAGGAAATGTTCGAAATCGTTTAAATTAGAAAGGTCTTCTGTAGTCATATTTCAACTTAAAACGTTTTGAAATTTGAAAAAGTTTTCCTTGTGTCTTTCTGAATTTTCACTTGTTTCTGTAAGAGGTAACAGTATTTGGCATTGAAGGCATTGGTGGATATGTTAATAAAACTAATGACATCAGGGAATGTCTGGGGATCTTGAAGGTTGATCCTGGGAGCATTATTAAGCCAATACATGCCATGTACATGTGCGGAGCCTCACTGTTCAAACTCCACTCTCCAGTAGAAATTTGTGACAAAATGCTCCTCAAAAATGCCGGTTTTATCTTTAAAAAGCTTAAGAATTTGTCGATAGCGGTAATCAAAATATCTAGCACAAGTACCCGGGTCTGACCGAATTAAGCTATATCTATCTTGAGTTGTTAAACTGTTGGCTTCCTCTTCCGAAAGAACTTTGGATGACCAAACGCTCAACCCATTGAGATTCTGCAGCCGATAGGTTGATAAAGAAGGTTGGAAGCCCAAATTGGTGAATCATAGCGATTGCCTTTTTCTTCTCAGCTTCCCAGTGCGTAGGAGGGGATCTAACGTCTTTCAAAACCTCGTAGCGATCATCGTGTTGAATCAAGTTTTGCACAAAGTTTCCGTTTAATAGATTTTGGGCCGTAACTCGGTTGCGACTTGAAAACTTTCTAAGACAATTGTACTATTCTAAATTTGTAGCGGTTCTAATTTTTTGTAATCATAAATCAACTTTGGAATAGTACACGCACTTCTGTCGAAACGGCGAATTTCAGAACGTATTATCTTACTATATGTTTCAGAGCATGTACATTTCTGCGCAACGTATATTGTTCCAAATAACAACTCTTCTGAATTATTATCTTGAATTCAATTCTACAGGAATATTGTCCAAAAGGGTAAAAGAGCCGTGGGAATATTATTACCAGTGGGATTATCATGAGAAGTTTGTGCCGCATGAAAAGATTGAACCAATTGAGAATCCTCTGCAAATGTAACAAACGGAACTTCTTCTACTGGGTTATTAAATTTTTAAATTCTGTTCTCATTAATATGTATATTGTGCTCACGATACAGAGGGGTATTTATTGAGATATGCAAAGCTTCCATAATCTTTGCGAGGCGTATGGTATCGATCTTGTAATCATGATTGTACTCCTCACCAGCCTCTCCATAAAGCCTTCACACACGCTAACACAAAAATTGTAATTTCCATCTTCTGAGGGAAATTTTTACATTAAAAAGAAGGGAGATCCAGCATTCGGGTGACCTTGTGCAATAGCTTCGAAATTTCATTTTCGAACTTGGTGTGAAAACCACAATCCGCTGCAGCAAATACATATTTCAGTAGGGCCCTTCTTTATATTATATATTGGAAATAAATGTTTTTGAAATCTGTTAAATTGCCACTATAATCAGTTTCTATAACATTATTTTCTCTCGTTAATAGGATTCGTTGAGACTGCCTTTTTCAATTTGCCTATTGACCGGGTTATTTCTACAAAGGCGAACTTGACTTTGTCTAAGACGTCTGATGACTGAAATAATAGACAGTAGCATTTAAACCGATGGGGTCGCAGTTTATCTATTACCACATAAAAAGGGTCTTTAGTCCTTTTGATACTACATTAATAATATTTATTTCATGCGATTTTTTAAGATATTTTTGCTCTATACAAAGTCCAGCACAATTTTTTACATTGTTGTCTGGTATATTTTGTTATAAGTTCAAAATGATGAC